GGGAGAGAGAGGAAGGGGGAGAGAGAGAGAAACATCGACATGAAGGGACACATCGAGTGGCTGCCACCCGCACGACCAACCAGGGCCGGGGACAAACTGCAACTGAAGTACATGCCCTTAGTGGGGAACAGAACCCGGGTCTCTGTGGACCTCAGGCTGACGCTCTAAACAGCTGAGCCAAACCGGGCAGGGCATGAAATTTATTTTTTGTGTGGAGCCCATCTAATGACAAAATTATTGTTAGTAGTAGTAGTATCATAATTAAATATTAAATTACAGTAATAGCCTAAGGTAGTTTTCATTGAGCACTTTATGGGCAGTATTGTTGTCTTCCCATTTTGCAGACGAGGAAGCTGTGAGACGTGAAGAGCACACAGCCAGAATGGTGGTGGCACATACACCTCCCTTAAAAAGTAAAGGGTTAGCCCTGGCCACTTTGGCTCAGCGGTTGAGCGTCGACCTGCGGACCAGAGAGTCCTGGGTTCGGTTCCTGCTAGGGGCACATACCACAAAAAAAAAAGTAAAAAGGGTTCTGTATTTCCCCCTAATGCATCTTGGAGACACTCGCTACCAGCACACATAAATCTATTTATTCTAACAGCCTCAGGTGTTTCATTTTACGGATACACTATAACTTAACCACTGCTGTATTAATGAATATTTGTTTACAGGTTTTCTCTGTTGTAATTGTTTTGGATAATGTATGTCCAGGTTTGGGCTCTATGAAGTTATGTCTATAGATATATTCCCAGCAGTGCAGTTGCCTGCTCCTAAAGATATTTGTATCAGTTTTCATATCTGTGTTCGGCTACCCTTCTAAGAAGTTATACCAATTTATATTCCCGCTAACTGTATGTTAAAAAGTGTTTACATGTAACACAGGAGTAATAATAGTAACTCTCTTCATGGTTATGGTGAGAATTAAACAAATTAACTATATAACTATATAAAAGGTACCTAATAAGCTGTCAGTAAATGGCTGTTATATATTCCTAATGTAATCATTAACCATATTCCAGAATTTTATTACCAGAAATACAAGCCTAAGAACTGTTTCAGGAGGTTGGGAAATTGACCAAGTTGACAGTGGACCATAGCAATACATGGCCCTGCAATACTGTCAAATATATAAGAACATGTTCGCTCTGCATTGAGGCCCCAGGAGCTCCGGGAGCCTGGGAGCATGGGAGCATGGGGCTGATGTTAAGGGATTGAGCCCAAAGGAACCTGCAGACTTCTGCTAGGACTGGGCTGCCCTCAGGGACAGGACGCAGTAGGCATTGGCTCCTTCTGTGTCTCCACAGCACCCTGGACTAGTAGCTTTCAATATTTCCACAGGGAGGAGGGAGGCCATCACTTGGGAGGGACCTTCAGAGTATTCCAACCTGAACACCTTATTCTCCTGTTCTCTTACTCTGAAAGGCTTCATTTAAATTTGCCTTATGGATTGACTTCTTGTTTTTTGTTTTTGTTTTTGTTTTTATCCTCGTCTGAGGACATTTTTCCATATTTTGTTCAGATAGAGTGGGAGGGGGAGAGAGAGAGAGAGAGAAACATCGATGTGAAAGGGACACATCGAGTGGCTGCCACCCGTACAACCCAACCAGGGCCGGGGACAAACTGCAACTGGGGTACGTGCCCTTAGCGGAAACCGAACCCGGGTCTCTCTGGACCACAGGCCGATGCTCTAACCCCTGAGCCAAACCGGCTAGGGCTGGATTGACTTCTTGAGAATAATTTAGGGAGCTTGTTACCTTAAAAATGGTTTTTCTCATCTGCATGCTATTGCTTGAAAACCCTCCCAGAGGAGGTAAAGCAGTGTGGTGTCAGGGAGTGAACAGGTTATCCAGCAATGGGTGATAAAGTCACTTCACTGCTCCCAGCTTCAGTTTTCTCCATCACAAAATGAAGCAGTTGTAAGATGCAAAGGAGAAAATATTGTGTGAACACTTTGAAAATGTAAATGCTGCCCTGACTGGTTTGGCTCAGGGGTTAGAGCGTTGGCCCATGGACCGCAGAGTCCCGGGTTCGGTTCCTGCTAAGGGCATGTACCTTGGTTGCAGTTTGTCCCTGGTTGGGGTCGTGTGGGTGGCAACCACTCCTTGTGTCTCTCTCACATCAGTGTTTCTCTCTTCCTCTTTCTCTCCCTCCTGCTCTGTCTGAGGATAAATGCAAAAATGTCCTCGGGTAAGGATAAAAAAAAAATGTAAATGCTGAAGGAAAAGATATGTTCACACAAAAACTTGTACACAAAAACTTGCTTTTTATCGCTGAAAAGTGAAAACAACCCAGATGTCCATCGACTGAAGAATGGATCAACAAAATGTATAGTGTATCCATACAATGAATCATTATTTGGCAATAATAAAGAATGAAGTATTGATACATGCTACATACACATGGATGAACTTGGAAAATGTGAATGAGTAAGAGGCTGGAGGTGTGGGGGAGGAGGGAGAGTGGGAATGTATTTGGGGTTTCTTCTTGAGTGTTGAAAATGTTATAAAATTGGATTGTGATAATGGTTGCATATCTCTCTGAATATACTAAAGACCACTGAATTATATACTTTAAATGGGTTAATTTTTTGATATGTAAATATGCATTAATAAAACTAAAACTGCAAATGCATTAGGAATTTTCTTCTCACTGAACTGAGTCAGGTGTCAATTGTTGATGTAGCACTGGGTGTTTGGGATATCATCTCAAGATGCAAGTCTGATTTGCTGCTCAAAATATGTGGTCCTGGATTAAGTTGGTGAAATTCTCTGAACTCCTTTTTCTCATCTGTTGAAACAGCAATAGTAATAACAATCTTGTCTAACTGCACGTGGTGGTGTGGGGACACGGTGAGAAAACTTTTGAACACTTAGATTACACAGGTTTGTTCTGTGTGTATTTTCCTTCCCTCCTTTTCCAGTGTATAGACGAGGGAGATGCAGACATTAAGGGAAGGGCACAGAAAGACCATAGGGAACCCTGTTTACCAGCTACTCCCACTGTCTTTTTTACTTTTATTTATTTTTAAATATTTTTTTCTTTATTGATTTTAGAGAGAAACATCAATGAGAGAACATCCATTGGCTGCCTCCTGTATGTCTCCCACTGGGGGTTTGGCCCACTACCCGGGCATATGCCCTGACTGGGAATAGAACCTGCGACCTCTTGGTGCATGGGTCAATGCACAACCACTGAGCTGCTCTGGCCTGGCCAGAGGTTAACTTTTGTAATTAAGTTCCCTCTGCTGGGGATTCCCTTGGGGAACTGTGAATTTTATAACTTCCTAGTAAGTCAGGCTTAATGTCCAACTCAGTTCCCTAGTTTATTAAGCTTAATGTCTGATTTCATTTGCTTCTTTCCTTTATTAACACTAGTTATCTCCACTAACAACTTGACATAAATTAACTAATTTAATCTTAAATCAAGGAAGTAGATGATGATAATCCCATTTTACAAATGAAGAAACTGTAGCATAGAGAAACTAATGGAATTTTGATAAAGACTCAAGCCAGATTGTTTCTGTACCAGTGTTACCAGACAGATTTTGGAGCTATAAACAGGATAGGGTGCATTAAAGTTCACTTCAGTTAAACAGATGGTTGGTTGGCTTATCTTTACTTGCCTCACCCAAGAGTTGTTTTCAAAACCACACCCAAGTCTGTTTTCATAGCTACACTAGAGTATTAGTTTAGAGATTGAATTAAAATGAGAAATCTCACTAATTAGTGTTGCATGTATGAATACAGATAGAACCCAGAAGCTTTACTTAAAATATGAAAAGGTAAAACAAGATGAGTTTATAATCAAATGTTATTTTTATTAATTTATTTCAGTCCTCACTGGAGGATACTTTTCCATTTATCTTCAGATAGAGTGGGAGGGGGATAGAGAGAGAGAAAAAGAGAAACATTGATTGGCTGCCTCCTGCAGGACCCGGACCAGGGCCAGTGACTGAACTGCAACCGAGGTATGTGCCCTTCACAGGAATTGAACCCACCCATGACTCTTTGGTCCTCTGGCCGAGGCTCTAACTGCTGAGCCAGACCAGCCAGGGCTAAAATAATAAATTTTAACTCTTAGTTGGTTAAACTTAATATTTTTGAAGGTTTTGAAATTAGTGTAGTGTGTTACTCTGTGTTTTCATCAAATATTAAATATGTAAAATACTTATTTACAGGTAATCTGTTATGTGCCAGATATTGTGCTAGATATTTTACATTTATTATTTCTAATTGCCTCTACAACCTTGGAACATATGATTTGAACGTATTTTATTACAAGTGAGGAAGCAAACTGAGGTACAAAAGATGATCACCTTCCACGGTCAGCCAGTAGATTATGAGGCAGTAGTGGGATGCTGTTAGTACAAATTTGAGACATCCTGGTGGGAAGTAAAGAAACAATGCCTCTATGGCTCTGGGGTGAAATGACTGGAAAAATTATCAAAATAAATTCCAGATGGATTAAGGAGAAATATTTAAAATTATGGAGATTGCGGAGAAATAGCAAAGTAAAATGTTTATTAGAGATAATGTTAAAACTTTCTTGCTACATTTTATTAGATATGTGCTTGTGAAGGAATTACAATGTTTTCTTTGAGAGCAGAACTCAAAGGAAAAGGTTTGCAGACCTAAATATGCAAAATGTTAAAATATTTGTTCATTAAAAATGAAATTACAGCCTGGCCGGTGTGGCTTACTGGTTGAGCATCAACCCATGTACCAAGAGGTCACCATTTCAATTCCCATTCAGGGCATATGCCCAGGTTGTGGGCCCGATCCCCAGTGGGGTGCATGCAGGAGGTGGCCAATTGATGTTCTCTCTTATCGATGTGTCTATATCTCTCTCTCCTCACTTCCTCTCTCTCTAAAATCACTAAAGAAAAAATAAATTAAATAAAATTATAGAATATTAAATATAACAAAAGGTCAATACATATACTTTTTTTTTCTTCAAATTTTTAGGAATAAATACATCAAGATTTCAAAAAAGAGGTAGGCGGACAAAGAAATTAATGGACTCTATGGGAGATTTCAGATGTAAATAAACATACGAAAAACATTGATCCTCACTAATCAGAAATGCCAGATAAAGCAGCCACATCTGACCCACCAAATTGGGGTAATTTTAGTGATATCTCTACTTCCTTTTCAGAGTATGTGAGCCAAAAAAGAAATGAAACTTTATATTAATCATAACCCACTTTGGGGTTCCCTTTATTGTACACTTTCCACTGTGAGGTTCACTCTTCAGATGGTTATTTAAAGATGTCATATTCTGCTATTTCTTCCTCCCTTCCTTCCTTCCTCCCTCCCTTCCTCCCTCCCTCCCTCCCTCCCTTCCTCCCTCCCTTCCTCCCTCCCTCCCTTCCTTCCTTTTTTCCTTCCTTCCATGTCATTATGCAGCAACTTCTCTTTTAGCTCTCACCCTACGCAAGGCCCTACACCTAGGACTTTTTAAAGGGGTCACATTTTCTGGGGTGTTTATTTTATATGTGGTGTTACAATTATTTGAGAGTGCTTTGCATTTTTATTGGCTTGTTAAAATATGCTGTTGTTTTTCAGAAGTGTTCTGAACTTTTTTGTGGAAATTATTGGAAGTATGTCATACTCTTGGGACCTGGTTAGAATTGCCTCCCCTAAGTAAATGAGGTGTTAATATTCATTTGAGGCTTGGGTTAAACACTTGACTAACCGGATCATCTCTAAAACCCTGAGGTCAGGCTGCAAGCCCAGGTCTCCAAGATTTTCTAGACACATAGTATAACATACTTTGGAAAGAATGAATTATTCACTCATTTCAAAGCCGGGTTAAGTTCAGGTTAAAAGTGCTAGTGTTATTTAGCTAAGTATTAAATGACATGAAAGGATAGGCTTTGTCTTTGCTCCTTTGAAAGGAGTGATCAGCCTCCTTTGGGCTTTAGACTTTCTCCTTTGTGGGCATCCTGCTTAATGTTCCATTCTGTGTGGAGGGATTTCTTCCATAGTTCCAGTGACAAAAATCACTCCTTAGTATGTCTGGGTAAAGTCAGCTGTTTACAGAATGTGCATCTTTTCTACTGTCTTCCAAGTTGTCTTTTCACTAAATTGAAAATGTTTTACTTAAAAAACCTTAATCTATAGCTTCATAATTTTAAGTTTTTTAAAGCACCTATGCATATACAGATGGTTAGACAGTTATTTTTAGCCATTTTGTTTTCACTTTTAAACAAAAGGGATATGCAAAAATTATAGGGTTTCCCTCAGTCCCCAAAAGTTTAGTACTTTCTAACAAATGGGGTTTATTTATTTATTTACTTTTGTTAATCTTCACCCAAGGATATTTTTCCATTGATTTTTTTAGATAGAGTAGAAGGGAGGGAGTGGGAGAGAGACACACATTAATTGGTGCTTCCCACAGGAGTCCGACTGGGACCGGGGATCGAACCTGCAACCTAGGTACATGCCCTTGCCGGGGAATCAAATCATCGACCCTTCGGTCTATGGCTGGTCCTAAGGCGACGCTCTAACTGCTGAGCCAAACTGGCCAGGGCATACAAATGAGGTTTATATTTGAGAGTTATTGACATTCATTTAGGTAAGTAAAATAATTCTAGGGAATTTTAACAAAGATTAATTTGCTCAGTGTTGATTAGTGTTAAGTATGCTTTATTATACTCCAGGTTTTTGAATGCCAAGGGAATGAGTTTCAGGCCAGCTGTCAAGCTTATGCTAGTCAGTGAACAGGGCTTTATGTTGAGCCATCATGCCCACTCCTCAGCAGTCTTGTACAATAGGTGTTATTATTGTCCCCCTTCTACCAATGAAAATACCAGGCTACAAATAATGAGCTTGCCAAGGCTACATTCCTAGTAAGTATCTGGAGTGGGGTTGGAAACCTGATGACCCCAAAGCCTTCCTCCTTCCCTCTCATTATCACTGCTTTTCAGCTGTTGTAGGGTCTGAGGATCATCCACTCATGTACTTATTTACCACCTACTGGCCTTCCATGGGAGATTGGTTTCTGGCAGATGATAGGTGGAGAACAGAGCAATCGCAACCACTCAGAAATAGCCAAGCAAACAGCCTGTTCTTATTCAGCTAGCAGAGCGAAGGAGAGCTTGACAGAAGCCCTTATCTAGCCATGTTGGCCTCTGTCTCTCCTTGTTACGTGGCTGCAACCAGTTCTGCCTATGCTATTTTAACAACTTGAAGTATGGGCTACATATTATTCATGAGATCATTTATACGACTAAATGCTTTCCATCCTACTATTTCATAACTGTTAAAACTGTGCCCCGATATTAATCCATATATTTTTCAGGGAGACACTCTCATCTTAGTCTAGTGTTGTTAAATAGTCCCCCTAATGTGTTTACTGGAGTGCAGAGTGGTTTTTCCCTTATCAGATCTACCTGGGCCCAGTGGCGTGGCTCAGTGGTTGATCGTCAACCCATGCACAAAGAGGTCGCCGGTTCGATTCCCAGTCAGGGCACATGCTTAGGTTGTGGGCTAAATCCCCAGTTGGCGGGGGGGGGGGCATGCAGGAGGCAGCCAGTCGATGTTCTCTCTCATTAATGTTTCTGTCTTCTTCCTCTCTTTCTAAAAGCAATAAAAAAATATTTTTAAAAACCTGTTTGGAATTACTTATATGTACATGTGTCTGGTCAACCTGTGCTTTCTGACTTACTCAGTTGGCTCTTCCTGCAGTCTCTGTGGGCCTCACTGTAAGTACCAGCACAGTTGGTGAGGTCCAGAATTCTCCTTTCCTTGCTTTTCTTATTTTCCCCACCTTTGGGAATTGTACTAGCCTGAGTCTCCAAGTGTAGCCCGTTAGAGACAGATAAACCTACTTTTGCTTTGTATACCAACTTTGGGAATTGACGTAATTCTGAGAAACATAAAACCCAATTTGATTCACAGATTGTCCATTTGCAGTCTGGAACTTCAGATTTGGAGTTTGTTTAGTTAGCTGCTCTATCCCCAGAGCCTCTTCAGTCATACGTCAGTTGTGATTGAATGAAGCAAAGGTGACAGCTTTTCTTACAGTCAAATGCCTCTGGCATCCAAATGTAGCATTGCCAGTCCAGAATGTTAGACCTGGATTGGGTTTGTACCTCAGTATATGTTTATTGAGGGCTTGTTAAGTGTTAGCCCTGTGAATACAGTAGTGAATGAGGCAGACAAATCTGCCCTCTTGGTGGTTATATTCTAATAGGGAAGACCTGCAGTGCATTTCTGACAGTAATCCCAGTAACATACTGGAGTGCTTTCTGTGTGTCAGACACTGGTCTGAGCACATGGCATGCATTCCCTCTGTGAGCTGGTACTGTTATTAGCTTGTTATTTTGGATGTGGTGAGAGCAGAGACCAGAGAAGTTAGGACCATTCCCCAAGCTTACAGTCTGGCTCCAGAGTCAGTTTTTCATCGTGGTGATAAATGCCCTGCAGGGAAAGGAAACTCGCAACACCCCAGGTAATTTGAGAGAGCTTAGAGTGGGGGTACTCTGAATTGGGTAGTCAGGAAAACCACACTCAAAATTTGGGGGTGAATCTGGCTGAGGAGTGAGGTGCTCAGAGTAGCTGGGACTGTATTCTGGTAGAGAAGAGCAGTCTGAAGACTGAGGCAGAGAGGCTCTGGGTGCTTGTGGACACAGTGGGGCTCATGTGTCTGGGACAACACCCCAGAAAGATGGCTGTGGGGCCACCCTGGGGAGGTTCCTGCTGGTGGTGGAATTTCAGATTTATTCTAGGGCTTGTGGGAAGCCATTGATATGCATCAAGCAAGAGTGGGACATGATTACATTATTGTGGAGAACAAGTTATAAGTGTTTAACAGTAGAAACGGAGACAAGACCCTATTGTTCTGTTTTGGACTCCTTAGGTTTGAGATTGGACCTCTTTGTATTTTTGTTTGCTTATTTACCAAAGTACAGTTGAAAAATAAATATCTCAGTGCTTAAAGAAAATGATGATAAACCGACTACTTTTATCCTCTCCTACGTCTGAACGAAATCCAGTCTTCACTTCCGCCTTAGCTCTAGCTGTCTGCCTGGCGTGCCCAACACTGCGATGTCATCTTCTTCTCAGCCCTAACTGCTTAATGTTGTCACTTGCCTCCTCACCTTCCTGTTCTCTAGTCTCTTACCCATAGTACTTAGTGCTTTCTAACATACTGTGTGATTGACTTCCTGTCTTGTGTACTGCCAAGTCCCCTCTGCTGGAATAGAAATTCCCTGAAGGCAGAAATCGGTTTTGTGTCTTGATGTCTCCCAAGCATCCTTATGGAAGAATAATGCCTAGCCCCTGTTAGCCACATTGTAGGTGCTTAGTACATATTTGATGGATAATGAATAGGGAGTCAGTGAAAATGATAGTTATCCTTTGGCTTCTGCTTCAGCTGCATTTGGAAGTTGCATGGGGTCTGCCACTGCTCTCCATGCTCGAGTGCAGAGCCTCTAGAGTTTGCATTCTCCCCTCTCCCTCAGTGGTGTCCTGTCTTTTGAAATGGCACCATTTTGGTAAAGTAAAACTAATAAATACATGTAATTTTTTTGTTGTTGTTGTTCAGATAGAGCGGGAGGGAGAGAGAGGAAGAGAGAGAGAGAGAAACATCGATGTGAAAGGAACACATCGAGTGGCTGCCACCCTCACGACCAACCAGGGCCGGGGACAAACTGCAACCGAAGTACGTGCCCTTAGCGGGAACCGAACCCGGGTCTCTCTGTACCGCAGGCCGACGCTCCAACCGCTGAGCCAAACCGGCCAGGGCTAAATACATGTAATTTAAGGCATAATTTTTCTTTGTCTAAATTTGTTTTTGGCCTTTTTTTTTTTTCCATTTCTGATTATCAAGACACTCATAATTTTCCCCTTCGATTATCAGTTGGAATTTTTAAAGACTTTAGAAGTTATTTGGATATTAACATAGGAAAGTGGTAGTGATAATAAAAAATTATATGAGAAACTTTTTATCATATTTTAAATTTGTAGTTGTGACAAATATAAGAAAATTTCAGTTCTTTGTCTCAATAACAATGTGAGCAAGAAGTAATTGGGTGCTGTGGAATGTGCACAGGCCTGGCCAGGACACTGTAACACTGAGTGAGAAAGGCTCTAAGGTCCACTAGCCCTCAGTGAAAC